CAGTATTTAATTGGTAAATCTCATCCTTTTCCAAGAAAATTTGTTTATTTACAGCTGCAAAAACGTCAACACCTATCGACGACCAGGAACAACCAGGTACATTATAATTATATCTTTATTTTCAAGAGGACCATATCATTTTACTATTTTATTCTTCTTTCATATTTCAGCGAAGCAAGGAGTAGTCTACTTTGTGGTTCGGACCTAAACGAAAGTGGAATAATGGCTCCAGTTAAAAAAATATATGGATAGAATGATATAAATGAAATCACCGACGTTTCTTTAAGAATTATATTTATTTTTAATGCTTTAAACTGACGATTTGGCCACTCAATTTAGAGGGAGAGGGAGTATTTTGAAATTTTTGCTAAATTTTTAATGAAGAGAATGAGATTGAAACAAACATTAAAATACATATATACCAGATAAATTAATGTGTACATGATTACTCCGTTCGCTTTCCAAATTGTTGTTTGAAATACAAGCGCAAAAACCAAATATATGCAAAACAATGACCAGCCATTTAAACTCTTTGCTTGTAAAAGGAAACAGACGTTTTCGAAAGTTCGCAAAATAAGTTTTCAATTCCTGTTTGTGTTCAAAACAAACTTAGCCAATATATGCGAAACGGGTTCTATAATGTAGACCTGTCCCCTTTTTGTCGATGACGTACCGGAAGTCACATTTATAGTTGCTGTGTCATTATACAACGACATACTAAATATGAGCAAAATCTAAAAATGCATATCTGAATTTCGTCCAATCAGAAGCCCCTAAAAGATGGCCATTTCGCACAATGACTTAACAGAAGTCTCGATAGAGATTGCATAGCGAAGATGAACTGACAACCCAAATTGGAGCAAAAGCGAACAGTATTTGAATTTCAACCAATCTAAGCTAGTTTTATTGTTTTTGTAAACCACTTTGTTGAAGAATGCGTTGTTTCGTTCTACTAAATCAGTGTCACGTGAACATTACTGTCACCAATATTCGTTACAATTTATGAAATAGTTTAAGCTCGATATGTTTCAGCCAATCAAAAGCCGCGAAGGCCATTTTGATGACCGATTGGAAAATGAAACTGCTACATACATCCTCACATGCCTACAGATGTTCATCTCGAGTTTCAATAGTATCCGAAAAGTGGTTTCTAGGTAATGTCCGGAAACCAATTTGGAGGATGAAAAAATGATAATAAAAAAGTTATAATGATAATAAATAATGGAGCCCTCCAAACTGCCCCCCTCTAGTCGCAATGATGCATAGAAAAAATTGCAATATCATAATACACTTACATACCGACTTGAACAAAACTGGGCGATATCCAAATGTCTTGGGGCGTTTATGGTCATTTCCGTCCTCATCGGGGATATATAATTAGTTGTTATATTCGTAATTTGAAATAAATGAAGTACGCAAATATGAAATTTTAAATTCATTCGAGAACAGGTTTAGAAGATATGGCATTACAAAGAGAGACATAAACGCGATTTGTCATGATGAAATGCGTGAACTTCGTCTGTTATACGCTATTTTGTTGTAATTGGCCATTTTGAAGGAAGTTAACTAAGCGCACTTGAATTTTTGGAAAGCCTCCGCAGTAAACAAATAAGAATTTGACATGCTGAAACATTGTTATACCAGTCCAAAACACCATATTTTGGCTATTTCTGCAAACTGCGTTTTCATGATAAGGCATCTACGCATGCGCATTGGAAAAATCTACACCAAGAAAGATGGCCACAATTGACCAATATGATGTTTATAACAGAAATTGGCAAATAAATTCAAGATACAATTTTCACTTTGTATGAGGCGAAAAATGACCCAAGTCCTTTCTACTAGTCAGAGGTCACTTTGTCCAAACAGTTAACCAACTCTGCAGTAAAGTGCGTAGAACGTTAAAACAGCTACATACCGAATTTGAGCGAAATCTGACAATATCTACATTTCGACAAATCAGAAGCTATTTTATTGAGGCCATTTTGTCCAACCAGATAAATGAATGTGAGGGTAGTTTTCGCAGTCCATAAAACACATTCACACCAACCTAGAGTGAAATCGCACTTCGGAATTTACAGTACGATACAGATATATTGTTTTTAATATGATATTTCATTATCTATATTTAAGCTACAATTTACCCTCCAATCAACGAACAACCCGCTGAACCAACCGCCCCAGAATTGTCCATGCAGGGAAACTTACAGCCTCTGATCCACGTTCCACCAAGCTGTTATACAAGTGACGCACAAAATGATGGCTTCAAAGTTAACATCTACGTCCCAAAGGGAAATTACAGTTAAACATGTCTATGTCTAAGAACGTCATTTTATTAATATAGGTTCAGGAAAATAAAAACGCTATATACAAAAAGAGAGTGGAAGAGTGATTTTTACATTTTAATGCAGAAAAGCAAAGTTTTGTGATTGAACGGGGAGAAATATATACAATTTATCGTCAATTATAAAAATATAATCATGTTAAGATATCAATACCACCGAAAGTATACATACTTTCATGGATATCATTTGATAGAGTTTTCTCCTTTTATTGTTTGTAAACTACCATTACGAACGTTCCATAGTGAGCTTATGCCGTGGCGCTGCATCCGTCGTCGTTTGTCGTCAACTTTCTATTTAAAACGTATCTCCCCCTAAACACCAGAAAGGATTTCAACCAAATTTGGACTGAAGCATCAGTAGGGGAGGGTAATCATTTCTTGACTAAATGTGGCTGGTTCGACCCTGAGGCCAGGGGGCGGGGCCTGAAGGGGAACTTAGCTAAATTTGCTTGAAAACACATCTCTTAAACGCCAGAGACGATTTTAACCAAATTTGCTCTGAAACTTCATCGGGGGAAGGCAATTATTTCCTAATTAAATGAGGTTGGTTTGATCTCTGAGGCCAGGGGGCGTGGCCCTGAAGGGAAAAGTAGCTAAATTTGCTTTAAAACGCATCTCCTGCTAAACACCAGAGAGGATTTCAACCAAATTTAGTCCGAAGCATCAGTAGTGAAGGCCAATCATTTCTTAAACAAATGAGGTTGGTTCGTCCCCTGAGGCCAGGGAGGCGGGTCCCTGAGGGGGAACTTAGCTAAATTTGCTTTAAAACGCATCTTCTCCTAAACGCCAGAGAAGATTTCAACAAAATATGGTCTGAAAGATCAGCAAGGGAGTGCAATCATTTCTTAAATAAATGAGGTTGTTCGTCCCCTGAGGCCAGGGCCATAAAGGGGAACATAGCCAAATTTGTTTTAAACGCATCTCCTCTTAAACGCCAGAGACGATTTTAACCAAATTTGCCCTGAAACTTCATTAGGGGAGGGCAACCATTTCCTTAATAAATGAGGCTGGTTCGACCCCTGAGGCTAGGAAGGCCGGGCCCCAAAGAGGAAAATAATCTAATATTTTGCTTTAAGACGCTAATACCCGCTAATTGCCTGAGTGGATTGTACAGAATTTGGTAAAAAAACATTATTGAGGTAGAACAAACATTTCTTAAGGTAATAGGATTGTGTCACCATTTCTCAGTAGAATTTCTTCAAATTTTGTAGTTATAATGCTTTAAAGTAAAGACATTTTTCTGCCACAAAAAAATATAGGTTGTCAGAATTTTGAAGGATTTTAAATGGAAATTTATGTAAAAAGGAGTGAATTTTGAAAATGAAATGAATGACACGATATTTTTACAAAATATATTAGTATTGCATTAATGTATATCAATTTAATGAATGCTGAAATTGTATAAAATTAATTCTATATACACGATAAAAAAATTAACATTTTATAATAAAACCATTTACACATAGCAATTGCAGGTAAGAGTTATCGTTCTTGAAAAACTTCACAGTAGTGAAATAGGTAGCCGGTTTCCTAAATTAAAGAAAAAATGGACACATGTAACTCATTGATAAAAAAACCCTGAATTAATGCCTGGATTGCTTTGAAATACTTTAATATTGAGAGAACACACTGTTCCGTCAATAATAAACATACAATATTCATCAGTTTAATATTAAACATTAGAATTTGCGGAAATTGTGATACTGTCTCCCTACATTGGATTTTCAACTAGGGATGTACTTCCTGTTTCCGTTTATCAATACACTCCAATGACCTTAAATGGATGATGTTGATTTGATCCCTGCGGTCCTAAGAAAAAAACCAGCTAGATTATCATATTATATGGTGTAGTTTTCATAAATTGTTAAAAATTGGTTTCTAGGTTTATAAAAGCTTATAGTTGAATGAAAATTAAAGTATTGTCTAATTACACCCTGTAATATGACATATTACTTATTTCAAAATCTGTAAACATGGCAACTCAATGTAGGCCCCTGATTAGTTGAAAGTCAGATATTGTGGTCCCAGTTGGGTTAGAACATAGATCTTGTCTGGTTTTGAGGAAATTTCATATATAGATGTACTAATGCATTCAGTTTTAAGATGTAGATATGGAGTATTCCATCAATGATGTAATGTGTTTTTCATTTAAAAATCATTATGATGCTTCTCTTGACCGTTCGCATTGCTAGCTTTTTGTACTTGATCAATACCTACGTAAATAATTTCCGTTTTAGTTCCTGATCAGGATGCCCCCGCTCAGGACCGTAGACGTTCATATATATATGTATGGAATATAAAATACTTTAGACATAGTTTTATTTCTGTTTCTAGATCACATTCAGCCATCTCTTATCTATGCGCATTGCCAACTGTTGTATTTGATGAATTAATTCGAATATAATGAGCACGTGGTTTCCTGATCAGGATGGCCCCGGTCAGGACCGTATACGCTACTAGCTATATAGTTATAGACTATACGGCTTATAACAATTCTTGTAAGTCGGGGTTCTATTTCTTTATTAAAACGACTCATTAAAAAAAAACCATTATGATGCTTCTCTTGACCGTTCGCATTGCTTTTTCTTTATATATTTCATAAATAACTACTGATAGATTTACACTATATCGTGGAATACAAAGATAAAATATTATAAATATAGTTTAATTTGTATTTCTAAGCCATCTAATTCCTCTCTTTGACTGTAAACACTGCCACATTCATGTATTTGATCCATCAATACGGATAGAATTAGTACTAGATTTCCTGATCAGGATTTCCCTGCTCAGGACCGTTAACGCTCACAGCTTAAGTTATAAACTATACGGCATATAACCATTCTTATAAGTCGCGGTTCTATTTCCTCAATTAATGCAACCATTTCAATGACCATATACACTGAACATTATCTGTCTTTAGTTTATAAATGTATAAATGAAAAATATCTACGCTATTTCCTGATAAGAATGTCCCAGATGAGGACCGTATACACTATAAAATGTAGTTATAAGATATCCAACTGTTATATCATGCTCCAAGTCCGGACGAGTTATCCTATCTTGACGGTCCTCACCAGCCCCGGTCCTGCTCAGCCCGGGTTCCAGTGAGAGACAGCGCAGCTGTCTGACGCCACTCACTTTAAAAGAGGGAACTCTATTTATAGATTACCGAGAATAAGATATATTTAGTCTGTGCTTTGACCTATTTCCACTGTTGTTATTCTGTCACATCGGTAGTCATAAAGTCCATTTTTTAAAACTGTGGTCTATAAGAAAATTGAAAAATAAATAAAAAGCTGATATCGGTATAAAATAAATAAACATTATATCCACATATCTGTTGCATATTAGCTTTCGATTCTGTTAAGAGTTGACTGACATAATTCTACTTGGATTCTAGGTATTCCCACAATTAAAATGGCGTTGGTGTTGCGTATCTGTGTGATATCACTTCTTGTGAGTATGAAAGCAGTTCTGTATAGTCAGCAATCGCACTTTTGCATTTACTGTCCAATATTCTTATGGATCACGAGAGAGCATGTATACATTCTATAATGTGTAGTATCAATAATATGATTCAGTTATTCTATCGTAGTAACATTTTGAATTAATTGTAATTAATTGTAATTACAGGTTTTGACAACAGGCTCTATCGATCTGGTTATTCATCGCTTGTTTGGAAAACATATTTCTTGTTTCCCTGTAGTATGCCGAGTAGGATTTCGTAAGTATGTACTATAACCTATATGGACATGCAGGTCATGGGTATAGATGTTGACAACAAATAATATTAGGTATATTGTAAATGTATTCAGTCTTCCTGCTTTTATGTATCGTCAGGTAGTAGTCAGTCCTCTTTTAGTCTTCCCTGTTTACACTCACTATTAACTTAATCAGCATAGAGTCTTATCTTCTTTTTGATCTTGCATGACGTTATTCTGATGACAGGATCAATCAAATCAAAGAAAGAATGAAAATCATCAAAAAGATCTATTTGTTAATTCATTAATTTTTAATCAATCATCCTTTGTTTTTTCAATGTCATTTTATTTTGACATAATTTTGAATTGAAAGAAGGTTTGTTAACTTTAATGAAATGTACATGACAAATTCAAATTAATACCAAGAAAAAGCAGGGGTTTCAAAGAGAAACAAATCCTCAAAACACATCAATCTTATTTGTCTCAACCAATCAGTATTAGTAAATGATATCACATGTTTTTGATTTTGATGCATTCTAATTTTAAACTTTCACTCTAACACTTGGTTATTTTTAACCAACCAATGAACAACCATGAGGCCAGGTGTATTTTGAATTACACATGTGCAGGCTTTATCGACATTGACAACCTTCGTATCAACAATGACATCACTGCGTAACGCTGTTTCGTGGAAAGATAAATAGGTTATCTATCAACTGTACGAACGTATTTGGCGACACGTAATAAAAGGATATTTACACTTTGTATAGACCATATGCAAATGCTCAATTTTCTTTTTAATTTAGTGTGTAAATATAGCATTCATTCATTTAATGTACAATCAATATACTTCCTGGTGTGCTATGGTCTTTCTAACCCTTATATTTCGTTTCTGCTCTATTGTATGGGTGAAGTTATGAAATACATATTTCCATTCATTTTCTCTTTGAAGTGAATTTTAAAATACGTATCAATGCAACAGTATGTGTATATTATGCTTAACAATAACGCAACGTAACATTAACGTTTTGAATCAGTGATATAGCAGTTAAAAATAAATAATGATTTTCCTCCGAATACTTTGATGAATGTTTTGTGTCTTTTCAACGACACGAATTGAAACAGGAAGTTATAGTGTTTACCATAATTTAAGAAACAAATAAACGGTGTCTCATATCTAAGCTGATCTACTTAATTTTCCTGGATCTGTGCGTTGTCACATGTGTTACATGCGGTGTGTACCTTCCAGAACACTTACTTTTACCTGTGTGTCATTGAGTAAGTTAGTTGTGCATTTGAGCTACGATTACCGCAGATAGGGGATTACATATCCCATTATACACACATATATATACATACATATATAAAAATATCATTTTGACAATGTACCTAGGAATACGATATTCATAGTATTCAGTCTGCTTGCAATCTTGTGTGCTCCGCTACGTCACAGGTGGATGGACACTGACAATGTATTGTGTGTACGAATGTGTATTGGTAGGTATGCACAATTACACATACATTCACAAATGGCAAATGCGAGTAAGCCCGAACAAGTTTTAGTCAACAGATTTAATTGGCATGTACTTTTCCTCGAATTAATAAATTCTCGAATACATTTAATAATTGTACACTATTAGAAAAATGACAATAACGTCAATACACAAGGCCAAAATCGGAACGGACAAAACGAACCTGATGCATCAGAACAAACTGTACTACTTTATGAAAACCTGTGGAGTAAGAGAGGCGAAAATAAATGCCTCTGAAAATTAGGTTTTTCTGGCGTACAACGTGGAAATCTTAATGATGTTATTTGTCCAATCATGCGATACGTTCGGTAGCAAGAACGATCGCGAGTGTTTGGTTTGGAATCGTCCTCGCTAACGAAGTACCTCAGTGGAGTATGTACCGTTTTATCAGTCCCTAATAATAGCACACACTGAAATTTATTTCGAAGAAAATCATGGTTACATTAATATTGTGATAGATTTTCAGTGATAATTGAAGAGAAGCACACCTTGGCATTAATGTATTTAGGTAAAGATACTATGATTTCACGTGTTGGGATTTAGTGCGTTAGTTTCAGCTCCGATTTCGTTTACATTTGTTAGCTGTGTTAGCGCATCAATAATGAGAGGAACATTCACATAGACAATATGTATCATTTGAATGCTTACTAATCATGCAGTATCATAATAATATCATTATCTTATAGTAATGATTCAATATTATTTTGCAGAGGCGTCGTTTTGCAAAAGCAACAGAACGAGCGACTATTGTCATATGTGCCCCCATGGCAGCAGACAAGATAGGGCTGTGGACTCAAGAACTCTCTATGCTACAGAAGACATCCCAAAATGCTCGAGGGTCGACATCGCTTGTCTGATGTCAGGTCAGTTTAGAAAACTTAAGAATTAATCAATGTACATGAGTGAACTATAGTGGAATATAAATAACGAGGATGAGAAAATGCTGCAAAAATAATTAACAAATGCCGCTTGTCAAACACTTTCGATTCACACGTTATATTTACTACAATAATAATTCAAAAACATATGCTAATGATATCTATTCTACCAAGTACAAAAATTAAAGTCTTCTATGTCCATGTACGCCCATGATATGCAAAGTGACCTAAATAATTCAAGTATTTAAATTAGGTTGTGTTTTACGCACACTAACTTTTGTCACTTGATGCCCTTAGGGCGGATTGGCCGTTTTTGTCTATTATACTCGATATATTTGGGACCGGTTTTCTTTTATGAGTCCTAATTCGACAGATGATAAGCAATTAACACTGGCGTTAGATATATACCAGATGTTTACTTCAAATCTATCTATCGACATACCTCGTCAACACATGACATCAGCATAGGACAGATTTACAAGCACTCTTTCAAGTCACTTTCGCAGATAATTCATCGGAGCATAAGTAAATCTCGAGGTTAGATAATATTTGATTGAATGCATAAAACATACAATGACGTCAGTGTGTATTGTTTATCGTCCAAGTATTTGGGGGATTTCGGACCCAAAACTGTATATAGGGTTCTCTCATCAAGGTGAGATGTGCCAATTTATAGGCCTTCACCAAGTATTTAAAAACTTTGCTCAACTTGAGCAGTGTAACACATCAGGTCAAGGCGAAAATATTCAATAAGATTCATCAGTTTGGAAATATGTAATTAAAGTTTTACTTTCTACACAAACAATGTACGTGTCAAACGTGTCGCAATGTTTCAAGGCTGACTGGTCCCTTTGTCAAGCTATGACTGATTTGTATTGTTTACCTATACAACGATGTGACGATCTACACCCTACCTGTAACCTATCTGATGCAGTGTGTATTACGCTCCCTATCGGCAGGCGAAACGTCCAGGGTCGAGTGACATAAGAAAAACATACAATTTCGTCACATCGTTGTACAGATGACTGAAATATATGAACATTTAAAAGTATTGTTACGACAAAATAAGGTATTACCATTATTACAGTGAGTTGATAATAGCATATCAATTTGGATTCAACAATATTTTATCAGAAATAACATTCAGGGTTTTCCCACTTAAATTACCTCTGCTTTTCACAGGACGTTAAACAAAAAACAAAATACCACCAGTTATTTTTATTTTCTAAAGAAACTACGCCTGTTGTGGAAAATGGAAAAGTAGTCCGCTGTAAATGTGACTTGGCAAAGGGATATGTTGGAGAGGACCCGCTATGCATTAAAGTCAATAGCTGTCCACCCGGACTGGAACTCGCCAATACAAGTATGATATCTTGAGAGGAGTTGAGCGGGGCGTGGATAAAATCTTTTGGACGCATATTGGAATTGACGTTTCTAAAGACATGTATTCTATATTTTTAAATTTTTGTTGATACCATGACTTAACATTCCAACGTGCACGTCACGGCTCTGTGTTGTATATTTGAACAAGATATTTTACTCCGCTTGTTCCAGTCTACGCAGCTGTAAATGGGTACGTGGTTGGACGGTGCTAGAATTGTTGAATACTAGATGTGAGCACCGAAATGGCAGCACCGGCTGCATGCTCCCTCAGTGAGTTGAGAAAGATATTGGCTGGTTGCAAAGGCCCTATAACCACGGATTATAATTTGGGAACCGCTTTCAGACGATCTACGAACTGGGTTGCGATGAAGCGGTATATAAGAACTTCGAATAATTATAATTATTCTTAAATCTACTGCTACAAATAGGATAAAATAACAAACATTTTGTTTTAGATTGTACCGTATTTATACATATGTCATAAAACATATTTCTCATAATGTTATTATTTTTGTTACTAAGGCGGTAGATGCATACCATGCCCGTCGGGATCCCGTAAAAACACTACTGGCTACGAGTTCTGCAAACCATGGACCAGGTATTAAATCTGCAAGTCTTTTCACTTATACAAAGGTAAAGCAACTATATTCAAACCATGCTCCATTGTTAAGTGGAGGTGTATGCTTAATTACAATAATTTGCTAGCAAACATATGTCATTTGAAAGTTGCGCAAAACCATTTGCTTAAGGCAATGACAACCGATATTCTCTTTTGTGCATGTGGCTTATTATTCAAAGTTTGTTCTGATACTTTTGTAAATTATTCTGTATCTGCATAAGAAACTGTATAAGTACATTATCAAAAGAAAATATATATCCTTTTTTCTGTAGTTGTGAAACCCATGGCAGAGAAACTTTGAAAGTAGGTAATTCAACTGCTGATACTGTCTGCGGAAAACGGCTTCAGACTACGAAGAGTGAGCAGAGTTTGTATCCAACAGCAAACACGTTTGCTGTGACCTTGATATGCGGAACAGGAGATTGCCTTATTAAAGCCGAACAGACTGTCTCCAAAGGTATTTCCCAGTTGTAGAGTTTTTGTAAGACTTTCCAATTGAATGATAAAGTTAAAGTTATTTTATTGATTCTTCAACAGCTTCTGTATTGTGCAAAATTTCATTGATGCTTCAATTTATCAATCTTACTAGTAATAATTTGAGATGTTGATTTCAGCATTTTACATATGATTTGATATAAATACATATGCGCTAAAACAATTTCTTTGTTTCAATTGTTTCTAATTTATAAAATGTGAAAGAAGGTAAACATTTGTTTTAAAAAGATTTTATGGACAGCACGCAGCAATACCAAGACATGGCTAAAAAGGAACACTTGATAGACTGCAGAGGGCTAAGGTAATTAAAACTTTGATTTCCCTCTGGTTTCCTATGATGGGCAGTTCAATGACTGATTAAAAGACGCCTAAAAACAGCGTCTCCAGAATGGTTGAAGAGATTTTTTACTGCATATATATATATAAATAGATGTAGAGGTCAATCTTTGAAAAGGAAAAGCGTGGTCTGTGGGGAAAATGTCGATAGATATTTAAAAGAGCAAGAGGATTCAGTTTTCGATGATAAAGTTTGCGCCCCTGTCCTGAGAAAGGAGGGATGGGCAACAAATAACAGAAATGGAATAAAATGTTTGAAATTAACACTCTGTACGTATGGGTAAAGGTTTTATCCTCATTTGGAAAGAAACATCCAAAAGCAATTATGATTTATTGTTGTGTAAACGAAGGCTGTCGATCTATTGTGCAGTATCAGGCTGGACCAAACCTCAAAAAGAAAAAAATGGACCTTTGCAAATGATAGCACAAAACTATGATAAGGGCCTATCGTAAGGGCTATTTAGAAATTAAAAAAAACCCAGAACATTACAGTAGATTACATTGCAAATATATGACTCTAAAAAGTTGCAATATCATTTAACTGGCTCTTACGCCATACCTTTTTTTTTTTTTATGAAATCAAGTAATATATGGAGATTTCATTCAACGTACCCGCAGTTCAATATGAGTATATCATTTACGGCCCTGTCATATTCGATGTCAATTTTTACATAAGTATTTATTTGGCTCTGTCTTCGGTTTAAATTGGTAGAGAATTGTATAAAGGATGTAGTTCATGCCAAGAATCAAACTGTCAGACTTGTCTATTGAAACAAATCAGAAATATATAGTAGGTGTAGCTCATTAACTCTAGCTACTGTTATACTCACCAGTGACCCTTACCCGTCACTATAACGTCAGAAGTAGCACATGACCGGTTAGCTCATTTAACTCACCAGTAAGGAGCGGTCACATTCGATTGCCTATATCTAGGTAACGGACACGTCTGAACGCTCGTTGATGAATGATTGGCTATTTATTTAAGTGTATAACAGGTTTCGCTTATTTCTACAAAAAGTGAAAAATCTTGGCAAAATATTTTTTTATCATTTTGTAATTCTGACTTTTTGCAACCAAAATATTTAACAGAGTATTTTTGTTTCAAATTAAGATATACCGTCAATTTTTAAGATAATCAAAGCTTTTTAAACATGCTGGTTATATTAATTAAATGGTTAAGAATATGCAAAGTGGAACTTTTTGTTTATTTTTCAACTGTGTAATTCGTCATCGTTGACAATGCATCATCTTTCCCGCGAAAAAGGCTGTTCATTTCATGTTGTTTTCATGACGGTATTTTACTTTTTTACGTGAAAAAAAGGTTTATTTCTTATTTATTTCAAATAATAAAAGTGGATGTAATAGAACGTTAATATAAGGTTTGAAATGCATCTTTTAACATGTAAGAGGGTATGCAACACAGTTCCGTTCGAACATATTCTCCAAGTTACGCTAACGCACATTATGGAATATGTTTGAACGGAACTGTGTTGTATACCCACATACATGTTAAAAAGATGCATTTCAAACCTTAAGTACCTGTAATCAGGTGCATTACTCTTTGGTGGACGCCAGGGAGGTGTATTAGGCCCTCACCTTTTTGGGTACACAGGGTTGTTGTACGCAATGAATACATTCTACCAATATTTTTGGACTGAATTCTTGCATACATATTTGAAATAACACTAACCTTCATACTTTCAAAATATTTGGTATACAAAATGTTCGATTATCTCACATTCTGGATGATATATATATAATTAAAGAACTACATGAAAGAAAATATTCTTTTCCAAGTATTACGATGCAAAAAATACGAATTCTTTTCCAGAAAAGTACTTTTATGATAATATTCAATTTTCGACCCCATGCTGTAATAAGGTAAATTTATCAGCTAAATAATTAGTAGAGATATTCAAAGTAATAACTCCAGATGTATAAGGGATTGAAATAAGTGAAAACAGCAGCATAAATCTCGTAGCACTTCTGAAACAAAAGTTAAGAGGTGGCAGGCTCCTATGTTATTTTAACATAGCTGGACATAGCCTGGTTGGTTGGTTAGTTGACGGGTTTTTCGCCTACATGATTCCACCCATGCGGGTTTTTCGCCTACATGATTCCACCCATGCGGGTTTCATCTCACTGACGGAAGTCGGTGTTCTGTCGGCGTTGGAAATAGCCCCTTTCTTTTCGTTTTTCAACCAGCATGATGGATGCCAGCCTAATCAGCGGTATGACGCTTATGCTGCTTATCATGATAATTGGATTTATATTCTTCAACCGGAAGTTAAATAGAAGACATGTGAAAGGTAATGATTTTCAATGCAAAGAAAGCATTGAAATAAAGATTGTAAAATAGGTATGACTTTTGTCAATAAATTGACTCACTAAATAGATACAACGCAATGTTGCATAGATATTAAAAAAAATGTGAAAATTCACGATGCAATTTCAATAAAATCACTAAAATACGAAAATAATGAACCAATTCATATTTTGTTATTGTTGATGCAGAAAGTCAAACGAAGTAAACATTATGCTGTACTGTAAGTTATGACCATTCATCCATTTTAGACCAATAGTTGATACTAAAGGTTAAAAAATGACAAATCCATGACTAAAGTGCACTGAAGCAAATGTAGAATAATAATGCCTTTGAAACCCTCATAACAAAAGATAATTGAGGTTAAAAAATTGCCCATTTTCGTTTCAAGGGAATCGTCTTTCCTGGAAGAAGAAGAAAAAAGGTGAAAATATATTGTCTTTTAAGCCAGGTAATTATGTGTGCTAGTCGCTCTGTTAATAAATGTAAATTTATTGAAACACAATGTTCTTAACGTTTTCTTTGAACCATTCAACATATTTAGAGTATAATTGTAGTTTTTCGCCTTTGATATTTTTGAGATTTAATTTCACAATTCATTATGTGTTTTTTGCAATTGAGACAATATCTATGTACAGAAATCTGAACATATATACTGTTTTGATATGATTTTTCGCACACATTACTGTGCATATTTAGTATTAGCGAAATTATCCTCAGCGCAAAACAAGTTCACAGTTTGTCTTTCATACCTTGAAGGCATCCAAGAAGTGAATGAAACACCCAAACACAAGGAGAAGGGAGCAGGTTAAGTATTTCTTAATTTAAATCATCGTTGGTTGTTACATATAGCAGTACATCATTTTTTTTAATATTTATGTTCTAGTTTCAGTTATATTGATTTTTAACAACTATGATTTTGTGATTTTTTTTTTTATTTATGGAAAATATTTATAGGTGTATGATATAATGGCAACACAATATTTTAACTTGATATTATCTTTTACCATTGATAAATATGTGATAATTACATCTGTTCCATCCTTATTTCAAACAACTTTGGTTGTCCACTTTTTACATTCGAGTACATTTTTTTATCGACATGGTGCACCTGCTCAATTTCGTTATTTGTGACAGATAATTTGTCTATTTACAGTTGCCGAAAAATCAATACTTATTGACGATTATGAGCAGCCAGGTAAAGAAGGAATTTTACTTTTTTATTTCATTATTTTAATTAATTTTGATATTTTACTGAACACATTCGTCACTTTCGAAAGTCAAAATATTCCTTAATAAAGTTCAACACTTATTAATGACCATTAATCGCAACTTGGAGAATGTAATTATTAAACTTGCTAATTGTCAGTATTTAATTGGTAAATCTCATCCTTTTCCAAGAAAATTTGTTTATTTACAGCTGCAAAAACGTCAACACCTATCGACGACCAGGAACAACCAGGTACATTATAATTATATCTTTATTTTCAAGAGGAGCATATCATTTTACTTCATTATTCTTCTTTCATATTTCAGCGAAGCAAGGAGTAGTCTACTTTGTGGTTCGGACCTAAACGAAAGTGGAATAATGGCTCCAGTTAGAAAAAAATATATGGATAGAATGATATAAATGAAATCACCGACGTTTCTTTAAGAATGATATTTATTTTTAATGCTTTAAACTGACGATTATGCCACTCAATTTAGAGGGAGAGGGAGTATAGCACGGCACCAACTGGTTTTTTTTTCATTTTTTTTTTCAATAATATTTTGATTTTTTTGCTAAATTTTTAATGAAGAGAATGAGTTTGAAACAAACATTAAAATACATATATACCAGATAAATTATTGTGTACATGATTACCCCGTTCGCTTTCCAAATTGTTGTTTGAAATACAAGCGCAAAACCAAATATATGCAAAACAATGACCAGCCATTTAATCTCTTTGCTTGTCAAAGGAAACAGACGTTTTCGAAAGTTCGCAAAATAAGTTTTCAGTTCCTGTTTGTGTTCAAAACAAACTTAGCCAATACATGCGAAACATGTTCTATAATGTAAACCTGTCCCCTTTTTGTCGATGACGAACCGGAAGTCACATTAAAAGTTGCAGTGTCATTATACAACAACATACTGAATATGAGCAAAATCTAAAAATGCATATCTGAATTTCGTCCAATCAGAAGCCCCTGAAGGATGGCCATTTCGCACAATGACTTAACAGAAGTCTCGATAGAGATTGCATAGCGATGATGAACTGACAACCCAAATTGGAGCAAAAGCGAACAGTATTTGAATCTCAACCAATCTAAGCCAGTTTTATTGTTTTTGTAAGCCACTTTGTTGAAGAATGCTTTGTCTCGTTCTTCTAAATCAGTGTCACGTGAACATTACTGTCACCAATATTCGTTACAATTTACGAAATAGTTTAAGCTCGATATGTTTCAGCCAATCAAAAGCCGCGAAGGCAATTTTGATGACCGATTGGAAAATGAAACTGTTACACACATCTTCACATGCCTACAGATGTTCATCTCGAGTTTCAATAGTATCCGAAAAGTAGTTTCTAGGTAACCAATTTGGAGGATGAAAAAATGATAATAAAAAAGTTATAATGATAATAGATAATGGAAGCCCTCCAAACTGCCCCCCTCTAGTCGCAATGATGCATAGAAAAAATTGCAATATCATAATACACTTACATACCGACTTGAACAAAACTGGGCGATATCCAAATGTCTTGGGGCGTTTATGGTCATTTCCGTCCTCATCGGGGATATATAATTAGTTGTTATATTCGTAATTTGAAATAAATGAAGTACGCAAATATGAAATTTTAAATTCATTCGAGAACAGGTTTAGAAGATATGACATTACAAAGAGAGACATAAACGCGATTTGTCATGATGAAATTCGTGAACTTCGTCTGTTGTACGCTATTTTGTTGAAAATTGGCCATTTTGAAGGAAGTTAACTAAGCGCACTTGAATTTTTGGAAAGCCTCCGCAGTAAACAAATAAGAATTTGACATGCTGAAACATTGTTATACCAGTCCAAAACACCATATTTTGGCTATTTCTGCAAACTGCGTTTTCATGATAAGGCATCTACGCATGCGCATTGGAAAAATCTACACCAAGAAAGATGGCCACAATTGACCAATATAATGTTTATAACAGAAATTGGCAAATAAATTCAAGATACAATTTTCACTTTGTATGAGGCGAAAAATGACCCATGACGCCCCAAGTCCTTTCTTCTAGTCAGAGGTCACTTTGTCCAATCAGTTAACCAACTCTGCAGTAAAGTGCGTAGAACGTTAAAACAGCTACATACCGAATTTGAGCGAAATCTGACAATATCTACATTTAGACAAATCAGAAGCTATTTTATTGTGGCCATTTTGTCCAACCAGATAAATAGATGTCAGGGTAGTTTTCGCAGTCTATAAAACACCTTCACACCAACCTAGAGTGAAATCGCATTTCGAAATTTACAGTACGATACAGATATATTGTTTTTAATATGTTATTTCATTATCTATATTTAAGCTACAATTTACCCTCCAATCAACGAACAACCCGCTGAACCAACCGCCCCAGAATTGTCCATGCAGGGAAACATACAGCCTCTGATCCACGTTCCACCAAGTTGTTATACAAGTGACGCACAAAATGATGGCTTCAAAGTTAACATCTACGTCCCACAGGGAAATTACGGTTAAACATGTCTATGTCTTAGAACGTCATTTTATTAATATAGGTGCAGGAAAATAAAAACGGTATATACAAAAAGAGAGTAGAAGAGAACGAAAAAAATGTCCAGATAAAGAGTAATAATGTGATCAATTACTGTTAGTGAGAAAGAGATTGAACGAGGAATACGAGTTGAGCGTAGATAATAGATATAAATAAATCAGAATCACTAAGCTTGGGTAAAATCAATCATTGAACTAAAAAATACAAAGCAATAATACAAATATATACTATATATAATAAAGTACGATGATGAAATGGCTCGGTGCTAAGTACCAAATATTCAGACATAGAATATAATAAATAAGAATTGTACATGTTTATATGTATGCTAAATAATAACCGCACGCATGCTCATATGCTAATGTATCGAGAAATGTTTAACGCTTTCTACCGAACAACCATATAATAGGCATATTGAGCAGATACTGATTACTGCAGAGATAAAAAAAAATGAATGCTAGCTGTTAGCGCCGAAATGGCAGTTCCGGCTGTATGCTCCCCAGAGAGTGGAAAAAGGTATTGGCTGGTTGCAAAGGCCCTATTACCACGGATAGTGATTTGTGAACCGCTTTGAGACGACCTACGAACTAGATTGTGATAAAGCGGTATATAAGAACCTCGAATTATTATTATTATATTATTATTACTGCGAAAACAACACCCCAAAAAACAAAAACAAACAATATATCATTTTTTGTTAGTTGAAAGTGATATACAAGAACCTTTTAATGCAATCCCTGCATCGCTCACCTGGTATTAATCCCACACTTGTAATCGTAAAAGTGGACTAAAAGTAACAGCTACAGGCAGATATCAGTGTTTGAGAACCTATTAAAAGATTTAAACATGATGCCTGTGACCTTGAATGTCGAACAAGGACATTAGGTGTGAAATACCTTGAAAAAAGGTCAAGGTAATTCATTTGAACAAACTTGGTAGCCCTTCATCCCAGCATGCTACATGCCCAATAGCAGTACCCTGGGCCTTTTGGTTATCGATAAGAAGTCGTTTGAAGATTTTAAGACATCTGACCCCAGTGACCTTGAAAGTGGATCCAGGTATTTATTTGAAAAAACTTGGTAGCCCTTGATTCCAGCATGCTACTGGCCAAATATCATCAACCTAGGCCTTTTGGTTACTGAGAAGAAGTTGTTTGAAATAAAACGTCGACGCCGGACAGACGGACGACGGACGGACGACGGACGCCGCACCATGGCATAAGCTCACTTGCCCTTCGGGCAGGTGAGCTAAAAATGGAGACTCTTTTCTAACTTAATGATACCATAGCTTATTTACCAAGTAATGTGTATTTATCCATATGTGCACCTATAACTTGTACCTAATTCGATTGCCGCCCGAGATGTGCATTAACTAATTTCGAATCATTCATTTCAACTCCAGACCGTTACGGCCACAAATACACAGGTATTACATGTGTAATGCGCATCTCGGATGGGAATTCGAAAATTCTCCTTAAATATCCATAGTGCGAGAGCAAGAGTGTATGCAAGTTGGGTTTTGTACTGTCTTTTATACAGCATAAACTGTTAGTTGTTGCCCTTCAACATTCATTGGATTTCCCCCGAACGTTTCACCTTGTTCTCTTCCTCAATCCGGTGACTAAACGTTTAGGTATTTTGTTTTATATAATAACCAATTTTATAACATCTCATTTTTAACATCACATATTATATTTTTGATAACCGATTCCTCTGAAATCTTGAAACCTGCACCAAATACTTGAAGTCACGCAAAGTAAAGAAAAGTTTCACAATTAAGATGTTTGAATGCTTTTGATACAGTTTTTAAGGGACCATTGTCTTGTATTATTGAATGATCCTGTCCTTCTTTGATGTGATATTTTATTGCTTGTACTGCCACTTCTTTCATGCACTTTCCTGCAATTCAGTGACTCAACGTTTGAATTTATAATTTTTTTATTTTTTTTTTATTTATATAACGAAAACTATTTAGTGACTGCCGTTCGATTTTCAATATTATTTTATGTATTAGAAGCGTTGGTAATGTTGTACCCATTGATTGATACATTTGCAAATTAGTAATTTTTATGCAGAACATCATTCATTTAATGCTTATTTTGTACTTAAGTCATTTAAGTCATTATTGTCATGCTTGTATTGCAACTAATTATATAAAAACAATAAAGTCTCAAATGTTACACTTTTCTATATAAATACTTGTTGATGTTTTGTGATTGAACGGGGAGAAATATATACAATTTATCGTCAATTATAAAAATATAATCATGTAAAGATATCAATACCACCGAAAGTATATACTTTCATGGATATTATTTGATAGAGTTTTCTCCTTTTGTTGTTTGTAAACTACCATTGCGAACGTTCCATAGTGAGCTTATGCCGTGGCGCAGCATCCGTCGTCGTTCGTCGTCAACTTTCTATTTAAAACTTATCTCCTCCTAAACTCCAGAGAGGATTTCAACCAAATTTGGACTGAAGCATCAGTAGGGGAGGGTTATCATTTCTTGACTAAATGTGGTTGGTTCAACCCTGAGGCCAGGGGGCGGGGCCTGAAGGGGAACTTAGCTAAATTTGCTTGAAAACACATCTCTTAAACGCCAGAGACGATTTTAACCAAATTTGCTCTGAAACTTCATCGGGGGAGGGCAATTATTTCCTAATTAAATGAGGTTGGTTTAATCTCTGAGGCCAGGGGGCGTGGCCCTGAAGGGAAAAGTAGCTAAATTTGCTTTAAAACGCATCTCCTCCTAAACGCCAGAGAAGATTTCAACAAAATATGGTCTGAAGGATCAGCAAGGGAGTGCAATCATTTCTTATATAAATGAGGTTGGTTCGTCCCCTGAGGCCAGGGCCCTGAAGGGGAACATAGCCAAATTTGCTTTAAACGCATCTCCTCTTAAACGCCAGAGACGAATTCAACCAAACTTAGTCTGAGGCATCAGTAGGAGAGGGCAATCATTTCTTAAATAAATGAGGTTTTTCAACTCCTGAGGACAAGGGGAGCGGGGCCCTGAAAGGGAACTTAGCTAAAGTTGCTTTAAAACACATCTCCTCTTAAACGCCAGAGACGATTTTAACCAAATTTGCTCTGAAACTTCATTAGGGGAGGGCAACCATTTCCTAAATAAATGAGGCTGGTTCGACCACTGGGGCTAGGAAGGCCGGCCCCCAAAGAGGAAAATAATCTAATATTTTGCTTTAAGACGCTAATACCCCCTAATTGCCGGAGTGGATTGTACAAAATTTGGTCAAAAACATTATTGAGGAAGAACAAACATTTCTTAATTGAATGAGGTTGATTTGACCCCTGCGGTCCTAGGAAATAATACAGGTAGATTATCATATTCTATGGTGTAGTTTTTATAAATTGTTAAAAATTGGTTTCTGTGTTTATAAAAGCTTATAGTTGAATGAAAATTAAAGTATTGTCTAATTACACCCTGTAATATGACATATTACTTATTTCAAAATCTGTTAACATGGCAACTCAATGTAGGCCCCTGATTAGTTGAAAGTCAGATATTGTGGTCCCAGTTGGGTTTAAACATAGTTCTTGTCTGGTTTTGAGGAAATTTCATATATATATGTACTAATGCATTCAGTTGTAATGACTTATATATAAAACCAGGTGAGCGATACAGGTCCAATGAACCTCTTGTTATCACTAGTTTGTATTATGTGTAACTTTTCATAGCACATGGAAACAACTGTAATTAATGACAGTTTAGTCGGAATAAACAGCTTGTCTTATACATAGATGCAGTTAAGATTGAAAACTTGATAAGCTGGACACTTTAGTTTTTAAAAGTCAAAATAAGTTTTCGAATGAATCAGACAGGTTTTGTTGTTGCGTACTGATAATGGACATTATCTTCATGAAATCCGTTTCGGTTTTTGTTTGTTGATACACGAGATTTCATAGCACCGTGAAACCTTTATAATCTGACATCCTGTGGAAAACAACATATAGGTCAGAGATGACAGGATATGGAAACGTGATATCTAGAATTATGAAATAAGGAAACATATATTTTAAAATTCAATTTCTTAATGCAAAAAGTCCAAACAAGGTGAATAGATTGTTGCCATAGCGTCATTTCGTCTATGAAGGACTAACCAGTGACATTGAGGTAAAAACAATAAAAATCAAGAATGTCAAAAGCGTCCCGAACCATAGGTAGGAATACTGCTGAAGGGAAATGTGTCTATATATATATTACCATTTATTATGATACATTTACAATATTTGGCTACTTATATTTAAAATTTACCGTGCCAGAATAGTTTTCAGCTACAAGGTTACGGCTAACGTCTAAAGAATACTGACCAACAAATGACTGGAACTCCGTGAGGAAATTTCCTGCATTTTCATGCGACATGCCAGAAAACTTACGACATTCCGAAATATCTATTCCTAGTTTGATTTTGTCAGTGGAATGTTTCACAAAATAATTCGAAGTAGGTATGCACTGTTGTTGTTTAAAAGCATATGTTTGTTTTCCTTTGTAACGTGAAGGTGAGGGAAAGTCAAAACCACGATCAGTTTCTTACAAAGCGTTCTCAAGCAAAAAAATCGTCTGTCAATACGTATCGATGTCACATCCATCATCCTTTTCTGGTATATATTTGAACCGGAAACTATCAATCAAAAAGTCATCCATGAGTTAACATATATCAATTACATATATACTAGTATATACTACTCACATTTTGCTTAGGATCACTTTTATTTTTGGGCATGTTTGAAAAATAAATATTTTATTTGGTTTTTATACTTAAAATTGCAAGTCAGTAAAGAGAACCGGTTACCATTCCTGAAGAGTCCAAGTGCTGTGAGCTTGGGCTCATCTAATCGGTCCCTAACATGACGGGCAGTTAAGAGAACTCGTATTGCTGGTCTACGTGACCTAAAACCAGCATCATAAAGGCGGTTCCTAACTGTCTAAGTGGCAGAGGTTGACTAAGGTGATTTAAAATAATAAATAATCTTGTATGTTCACGACTGCCAATGATACAAAGTTCGTATGAAATAACTGATTTGTTCAAATATAAACACTATCAATGTATTTTTAAAATAAAAACACAGATCTTCACTTTAAAACAAGTGCACCTGACGTGGTGAGAAGCTGTGAATTACATTTAAATATACTTATCGATACAAAATTAGATAATCACATGACAACAAATTAAGATACAGGTGCACCCGACGAGGTGACAAAGGTGATTTAAAATAAATGAATAATCTTGTATGTTCACGACTACCAATGATACAAAGTTCGTATGAAATAACTGATTTGTTCAAATATAAACACTATCAATGTATTTTTTAAATAAAAACACAGATCTTCACTTTATAAAAAAGTGCACCTGACGAGGTGAGAAGCTGTGAATTTTAAAAAAGGCAGTCATGATAGATTACATTCATTGTCATAGTCATTGTCTTTTCAACGCTTCTTTTTCTTTTAAGAAACTGTCAATGTCCGTTCTGTCCTTTGTCTTTTTCTTT